AGGCAGAGGCAGGCAGCCAGGGAGAGTGCGCAGATCACAAACAGGGAGTCGCTCACCAGGACGCGGATCAGCAGAAGGGCCCAGGGCTGCGCCCGGCGCCGGCGGGACAGGACCGCGCACAGCACGTTCACCAGCAGGAAGAGCAGCGAGGCGCCCACGAAGGCCCCTCGGACGGCCAGCCTGCGGCCCACGGCACGGTCAGCCCCAGCCCACCCACTGCCGTGGCAGGCACCAGCCACCCCACCTCCCCCCGGGGCTCTCAGTGTCCATCAGAACTCAGATCGGCCTCCTGAACCCTGTTCCTCCAGTCCTCCAGATGGGAAAACTGAAGCCCAAAGTGGTCAGAAGCGAGTAATAGTTGTGGTCCCCTGGCAAGAGCCCTATCTGGGAGTCCACCCCGAGATCTAGGTGTGGGCCCAAGCGGTGCCTCCTGCCAGCTCTGTGACCTTGAACTCGTTGCCTGACCTTGCTGGGCCTGTTTCTCCACCTCTTCAGTGAGGACAGTGCCGCCCTCTCAGGCCAACCGTCAAAGTGAGAGATGTGTGTGAAAGCTCTTGGTACACGTGAGACACCACGTGAGTGGCAGGGGTACGGCTGTCCCAGAGCACCCAGAAGAGCAGGCTGCCCCTCGAGCCCTCACTCCATCGTGGAAGACACTGGGACCCTGCCCGCCTCACACCATCACGCTGGCGCTGTCACTGTTGCCTCTCACGTATGCAACGCCTCTGCTGAGCCCACTCTGGGCGTTTTCACTTTTGCAAGCTCTCCCACAAACATTTCCTGTGGTGTCTTGGCCTCAGTCCTGGAAGGGGTCCCCACACCAGCCTCCCTGCCCCTGCCCCGTGAGCCCCCCAAGTACTTACAAGCCTCGGCTCATTTCCGGCCGACGCTTCGCCTTGGCCTTGAACACCACCTGGGCGCAGAGATGCCCGTCACGCCACTGGGCTCTTGGGGCTCGCCCTCCCGCCCCCCGCCGATTCCCACGGCTACCTGGGCAAAGTACAAGTTCATGAGCGTCAGGGTGAAGAACTGCAGGCAGACGGGACAGCAGTAGAGAAGCCAGAAGGGCAGGGGCCCCAGGCGGTTGGCCCGGGGAGTGTCTCGGAAGTAGAAGGAGAAGAGGGTGGTGCGCAGGGCGGCCCAGAGCAGACAGAGCGCCAGGAACACGGTCTGGTAGCTGAGGCGCTTGTGCCCGTAGAGGAGCACCAGCCAGAGCTGGGCGTAGACGGAGAGGAAGAGCAGGGCGTACAGGGCGGTGTAGGCCGCGGTCAGCCCCAGGGTCACGGCGGGCGGCAGCGCCGGCACCAGCCCCGCGGCCGGCACTAGGCCAGACAGGTTGCTCTCCATGTCACGCGGCGAGGCCTGGAGCCCAAGACAGAGGCGGAGGAGCTGGCGGGGGTCCAGGGAGACGGACGCGGG